GTTCTTAACGTGTGATAAAGAAGGCCATTAGTGCGTCTTTACATACAGTGTCGGAGGGAAGGCCAATAGTGCGTCTTGAAGTCACTGTATCTAGAAGAAGGCCCTGAGTGCGTCTGCTAGATACACCTATCGGGGATAAACGAAGGCCGCAGTGCGTCGTTTATTCGCAACCCAAGTATAGACAAAAGATCGATCCGTCATCATTGGTGCTTTCATTGAGAGGTGCTGATCGATTTTTTGTCTATCTTATCTTTTTATTTTTTTCGGTTTGCCTTTTGCTGAGGGGCCGAATTTCTCTTCTTTTTTGGGTCAAAATTTTCGAATTTATTCGAATTTTTCATTAAAAAAAGGTGTCATCTTGTTAGTCTTTTGTTTGATTTTTTGTTCGGTTATTACCTTTTGTTGAGGGGCCGAATTTCTCTTTGTTTCGATTATTTTTGAGTCTTTGTTGGGGGTTCGATTTTTCGAATTTTTCCCCTATTATTTTCGAAATTTTAGAGTAAAAAAAAAAAAAATCATGATGTTTGAGCCATTAGTTGAGTGGGATCAAGAAGATCTCGAATACCTCAAAAGTTTGGAGAGGGAATTAACCCCTTGGGAGCAAGATTATTTGGAAGAGATGTACGAGCAAAAGGAGGAGTATGAAAGACAACTAAGATCATGAAGGAGTTCGTCGAAAAAGAGCCATTGTTTGAGTTTGATCCATCGGGCTATGTTCAAGACAAGGCGGTCGCGTGTGAGGTCGACCAAGTCGAGTGCGAGGAACCGTTGTTCGCTCACGAGTTCACGGACGAGGATGTAGACGAGGCGATGGGCGATGTCAAAGGGGAAGTCTTGGTCGAGGCCGAAGGAGTCGAAGGGGCCGAGGTCATTTGTGCGATCTTGGTCGTGGGTGATGGGTGTAAAACGTGCGCGCGGGAACAGCGCGCGCAACACATCGAGGTCGTGGCCGGAGGATCTGAAGTGCACGCAGTCAGAGAGGATATGCTGGTCGCGGTCGAAGCGGGCCATGATGAGGAGGCGTACGCACAATACGGTGTGGATGCGTGTATGGTCAATGAAGAAGTGTTCGAAGTCGAGTTCTTGGTCGAGGTCGATGAGGACCATGAGTGCGGTACGCGCAAGGGTCTTAAGATTGGAGATGACGTGCCCAAGGTTTGGATGGTCGAGGATGAGTCCTTGAGGACAAGGACATTCTCAAAGGGGGCGGGAATGATGCGTAAGTGGGTTTCGAGCCCCGACGACGAGATGGTCCATAGGCAGGTAACATTCGGGCGCAAGAAAGGGCGCATTAGAAAAGGGCGAGAATACGCGCATTGGCGTAGACGCGCATGGCGCAACGGGGCCACAAGCGATGGCGCGCCTTGGGCGCGGGATGAACGAAAGGCAGCGCTGGGCGCACGGGGGTGCGTGGTAGGCGAGCAGGCCGTGGGCGTTGGTGGTACGCGCGAAGCAGTAGGCGACGAACGTGCGGATCGCGCTGGGCGTA